GGAGGAGGTGGCGGGCGGAGGCGGGCGGAAGAAGAAGAAGAAGAAGAAGAAGAAGAAGGCGGGTAGGACGCCTCATTCATTCAATCAATCAATCAATCAATCCGTCGATCTCGATGGATCATTTCATTCAAGATCCGTCGATTGATTCATTGGAGGCGGGTGATGGCGGAGAAGGTGGGTAAGACGCATCATTCAATCAATCAATCAATCAATCAATCAATCAATCAATCAATCAATCAATCAATCAATCAATCAATCAATCAATCAATCAATCAATCCGTCGATCTCGACGGATTGATTGATTGATTGATTGATTGATTGATTGATTGATTGATTGATTGATTGTAAGGGGCGGAGGACGACGGAGGAGGCGGCGGGCGGAGGCGGGCACGGGCAGGTGGAGGAGGATGAAGAAGAATGAAGAAGGAGAAGGCGAAGAAGAATGAAGAAGAAGAAGACAAAGAAGAAGAATGAAGAAGAAGAAGGCGAAGGAGAAGAATGAAGCAGAAGCAGAAGCAAAAGAAGCAGAAGAAGCAGAAGAAGAAGAAGAAGAAGAAGAAGAAGAAGAAGAAGAAGACGAAGAAGAAGAAGAAGAAGAAGAAGAAGAAGAAGAAGAAGAAGAAGAAGAAGAAGAAGAAGACGAAGGCGACGACGACGACGACGACGAAGAAGAAGAAGAAGAAGAAGAAGAAGAAGAAGAAGAAGAAGAAGAAGAGGAAGAAGAAGAAGACGAAGATGAAGTAGAGGACGGTGAAGAAGAAGAGGACGACCAAGAAGAAGAGGACGACGAAGAAGAGGACGACCAAGAAGAAGAGGACGACGAAGAAGAGGACGAAGAAGAATAGGACGACGAAGAAGAGGACGGAAAAGAAGAGGAGGACGAAGAAGAGGACGAAGAAGAGGACAAAGAAGAGGACAAAGAAGAGGATGAAGAAGAAGAAAACGAAGAATAAGAGGACGAAGAAGAAGAGGACGAAGAAGAAGGACGAAGAAGAGGACGACGAAGAAGAAGTAGACGACGAAGACGAAGAAGAAGTAGATGACGACGACGACGACGACGACGACGACGAAGAAGAAGAAGAAGAAGAAGAAGAAGAAGAAGAAGAAGAAGAAGAAGAGGATGAAGAAGAAGACGAAGACGAAGAAGAGGAGAAGATAGAGGAGGAGAAGATAGAGGAGGAGAAGATGGAGGTGGACTACAAGGACAAGGACGAAGAAGAAGTAAAAGACGAAGAAGAACAAATTTGAGAAGAAGAAGAAGAAGATGAAGAAGAACAGGAGAACGACCCCAAGGAGGGGGAGCACGAGGTAGAGGAGGAGGAGAAAGAGGAGGGGTTGTGGTGCACACTTACCTCGAGATGGCAGTGGAGATGGCGGGGCTGGAGTGCCGCATCCTCGCGAGCGCACACACGCGCTCGTCGTTGCAAGGGCGGCACTATCAGTCAGGCAGGGCCGGGGTGGGGGCTGCGGTCGGCGCGGGAGGGCAGTACCCCCCCTTGCAGTGATTTGAATTTGAAATTTGAATCTGGCCCGATCTGGGCCGTCGATCGGATTGATCGGACGGCCCAGGTCGGGCCTTTTTCGTTTCATTTTTTTCAGGCCCTGCTGGCGTCGGACTGTGGGGACCGAGGTCCAGCAGGACCCCTACACTTAAGCACTGCCCTCCCACGCCACCCTAAGCTCCTAAGAGACCTGGCCCCTATTTTCCGCCGGGGCCGGACCTTTGTCGGACACCGGACCACCGACCCGGTAGTCCGGTCGGACGTCCGGGCCGGTAACCTAGATAATTACATGAAAAGTTGCATTATATGAAACTCCATGAGTTATTTGGCCTTCAATTGAAGGTAACATATGAAACCGGTTTGGAAAAGCAAAGCCAAAGAACACAAAAAATGATTCGGGAGTGAAGCTGCATTGTGTCTATGCTGTACATTGTACAATAATGTTTCATCCAGGGACGTTGTCATTGCCAGCTGTCGGCAAAGGTAGGGGAGGAGGTGGGCACTGTGATCTGATCCTCAGGTCTCTTTTCTTAAAAAAAGGTTGGAAAGCAAAATGACTGAGAACCACTGTCTGGGCAGGACTTGATGGATTCACGACCACTTCCAGCTTGTGTGTTGGAGGTGTAGGGTTGTCCTGGATGTCTGTGTGGTTGTGTCCCTGTCGTAGGCATAGCCTAGTTGTGCTTGATGCAAGACGTAAACCGTTTACCACCGTCTTCCTCCGAACAGGACGCACCCTGTTTCCGAATGTACAGAAGCCATCTTTCCGGTTCGATGCAGTAATAATCAGGGTGCGTTGTGTGGGGGAAGACGGTAGTTGAGTTCATAACCCCAAGGGGTAGGCTCCACTGGTGCTGTACTCATGCTTGGAAAGCATGAACCTGAAGGCCAGGTTTATGCTTTCCTAGCATGAAGATAGCAGCAGTGGGGGCTACCCCTAACTCTGCATAACCTCTGTGAGACTGTGTTTTCACTTACTCTGAAAGCCTCTACTGCCTGCACTGGTGCACAGGGTAAACAAGGGTTGTACCGATTAAGATGGAGGTTGCGTCGAGTCTGGCCTCCGGGAAAGAGCAGGAAACAAGCTCTGATGGCGTGACTACTCGAAGAAGCAAGCGGTTCCGCTCCTTTGTGGAGGGGATTCCATGTGTCTGCTCCCCTGTGTCTAGTGGGCCATCAAAGGTACAATATGCTTTCAGAATTTCTTCCCGATTGACAAACTTTTGCATCTCAGTTGTCACCCACAATATCTTGGCATCCCTGTTTTTTTTTAATTTTTATTTGGACCATTGCTCGATTTATCTGTCGTCGTTGCGCAGGGGCCATGCTAATCTCCTCTGTATCATTCCGATTTTAATGGATGTCCCAAAAGGCAGTGTTGACATACTTCATTGGAGAATTGGTAACTTGCGATATGATGAATGTGAATGCAGTCCAATACACTTAGTTAGCAAAATAATTATTCTCTTGAAATGAAGTACGGGACCTCAGAAAGCAGACTGTGTTGAGCTTGACTCTATTCCGACTCTGTCAAATGACATGAGAGGTGTAGAACAAGTGGGACCTTTACGCCCAAAGTGAGATACCACGAGTAGGAGACCTCGAAAGCGAAGGGGACCAACTAGGGGATGCTGTATGTGATGGTTTGGAACAGGGAACTCTTTCTTCCCTCTCTCCTGCCACCATTGTGCCATCAAATGCACACAATGCTTTTGCTTAAACAGTTCTCGATACTTCCGCTTAAACAAGCGTCTTTTTTGTTTTTGGCTAGGAAGATTCTCACGCCCAGCCGGTCCTGCCCTGCCGGGGACCCGGGCGTGACACCTGGGGGGGTCTGTCGCCCGGGGTACCCGGACCTGTCTCTTATACACATCTAGATGTGTATAAGAGACAGGGCATGAATCGACGTGAACTCCATGGGCCAATTTT